GTGTCTAAAGGCACACTTCCTGGGCCAGTTCGGTCTAGAGCTGTAAGTGCGGCCACCAGATGGGAAGGTGGGGGACACAGGCTTCACTCCTCCGAGTCATACGGGTTTTGGATTGTTGCGATTTGCTCTGGAGCACCAAGGAGGTTACCCATGGCTGATGGTAGAGCCAGAGACTCATGTGGCCATTCTGAGAGCGGGAAGAAATACACGAGGGCAAAGGACCAAGTTTTCAGCAGCCGATGCCCTTGCCATAGGCTTGGGGTCTTCCCACCTCTTGCTCCCTCTCAGTTGCTGTGGGTGGGTATGGTGTTGTGCTGAGAGGGGGTTTGGGGAGATCACTGCTATTTCCGATCATCAAAAATCTTTGCAAATGACCCTCCCTCCCTGCTCATAAGGCTTCCAGTCAGTCAGTCAACACGAAATTGTCAAATCTTTGCAGAAACCTAGGCACTGTCCCAGGCACCTAGGATATATTCTCTGCCCTCAAGGGGTGCAAGTTCTAGTGACTCCAGATATAAACTTTCCCCAGGGCATGAGGAATAACCAACTGGAGGGTGAACGAGGGTGAGCATGCAGGAGGCAACCAATTGCTGTGTTTCTCATTAAAACCAAGGTGTCTTTTCCAAATGGCTTTTGTCACCAGTGATGTCTCTCACGGTCTAGAATAGACAGCACCAGGGGAGGGGAGGGGGCCTTTGCCCTCTACAATGTGACACATCAGAGGTCACCTCAGCGACCACTTGGGGTGATAGAGACATTCAGAGGTGGTCGTGTCCTTTGTCTTCTCGTCCACCATGAAATCTAGAGACAACATGGCAGGATATGGTAGAAGAATAAGGTGGGTAAAGGATGGATGATGGACCAGAGGGAAGGAGATAGGAGAGGGTAAAGGATAAATGGTGGTGGAAGAAGACTTGATTTGGGGTGGTGAACACACAATATAAAATACGAATGATGTATTGTAGAATTGTACCCCTGAAACCTGTATAATTTTATTAACCAACTAGAGGCTTGATGCATGAAATTTGTGCAAGGGACTCAGCCCTCACAGCCTGGCTGCCTCTCGGCCCTGCGGCCCCACCCACTGGTCGCTCAGGAAGGTCATTCTGCCACCTGGTCTAATTAGCATATTAGCTCTTTATTATATAGGATGTGACCCCAATAAATTCAGTAAAAAAGGATGAATGATGTGGAAAAGTGGGTCAGTTCTGGAGGAAAATGGAAAGGCCATCCACATGGTGGGGGCATTGTGAGAGGAGAGGAACCTGGATGGAGAAGTGGGGCAGGTGAGAAAGGTAGAGACACTGTGTAGCAGGCTCCCTGAAGATGTCCACGTCCCGATTCCCGGAACCTGTGACTATGTCTCCTTCGGTGGCAAAGGGATTAAAGTGGCAGATGGACCCAAAGTTGCTAAGCAGCTGACCTGAGAGAGAGGATCCTGAATTATCTGGTTGGCCCCAATGCAATCACAATGGTCCTTAAAGTAGAAGAGGAAGTCGGACTCATCCAACCACTGCTGCGTGCAAAGATGGGGGAAGAGACGCCCTAGCCAGTTTGGTTCAGTGGATAGAGTGTTGGCCTGTGGATTGAAAGGTCCTGGGTTTGATTCTGGTCAAGGGCACGCACCTCGGTTGCAGGCTCCTCCCGGCCTGGGGCCTGGTCAGGGCGCATGCAGGAGGCAACTAATTGAAGTGTTTCTCTCATATAGATATTTCTCTCTGTCTTTCCCTCTCTCTAAAATCAATAGAAAAATATCCTCAGTGAGGATTAAAATAAAAATAAAGATGGGGGAAGAGGCCACAAGCCAATGCAAGCACTTGAAACTGAGAGAGGCAGGGGATGGATTCTCCCCTCGAGCCTCCAGAGGAATGCAATTCTGCTGACATCTTGATTTTGGCCAGTGAGACCCCGATGCTGGATTTCTCACACCGACTGAATGGAAGGATGATTCATTGTGTTGTGATAAGCCAGGAACTGTGCAGTAATTTGTTAGAGCAGTCCTAGGCCACTAACAGAAGCCGCGAATAGACTGTGATGCCAGTTGGGTTGTCAGGGAGGGAGTTGGGCCTGATGGGGAAAAGGATGATGCGGGTCCATTTGCAGCAAAAGCCCTGGGTGGTCCCTCGGGGACCAGGTCAGGGTGATGATATGGGCTCCAGGCAGGAGCTTCTGTCTCATGGACGATTCCTTTGCAGGGCTGTGTGCTGGCAAACACCTAAGAAGAGATGGTGAGTGTTTCTAAAGGAAAGCCTTCCTTCTCCTTCACTCCAAATCCCCTCTCCCCTTCTCTTTCTTCAGAACAGCAGGTGAGTAAATCTAACCCAGCCTGGACTCCGCTTCCTTCCAGGGTCACTTCCCAGGCCCTCCATCCATTCCTGGCCCAGCTGGGTGGTTCCTGCCAATAGTCATGTGACACTGCAATGCTCCATTCCTATCCGTGAGGTCATTTTCAGGGACATAAAGTTTGCTCTCAGAAAGAACAACGTTCCTTTGGAGTCCTTGCCATCTTCTGATTCCCCAGAGGGCCTGGCAGAGTTTCACCTCAGTGACGTAAAACTCGGTGACGCTGGAGAGTACACCTGTGAATATTACAGGACAGGGAGCCCCACCAGAAGGTCACCGCCCAGTGACGTCCTTCTACTGCTGGTGACAGGTGAGGACGGGTGCTCAGAATGACACACCATCTCCCTAGGACAGGGATGAGGGGGGACCCAGAGAATGAGAGAGGAGCAGGGGTCTCACCTCCAGGGTAGATGGGGAGGTGGATGGAGAAGGACAGGAACAGAGCTGAGGACCTGCCTTCCTCCAGGGCTTGTAGGAGGGACATCTCCTTCCTGGAGTCAGAGCAGAAAGAGGGTGAGGCCAGGTGTCTGTCACTTCCCACACTCCCTGGGAACCTGCCAGGACAACAAGCCTGAGCGGGGACCCAAGGCTTCTGCCCATGACTCCTGAGCTTCCTTCTCTTACAGGATTTTTCCCTAAACCTTCCCTCCACGCCCGCCCAGGGTGGAAGGTGACTGCAGGAGGAAACGTGACTCTGCAGTGCGAGAAGCCCAGTCATGTGACAGAATCTCACATGTTTGCTCTACTGAAGAAAGGAACCTCAACACCCATACAGCTCCAGAGTGCAGTAGGAATGGAGACAGACTTCTCCCTGCCAAGTGTGACGGGCAGTGACACTGGGGCCTACAGCTGTGTGTACTACCAACCAAGGGCTCCTTTCTGGGCCTCAGAGCCCAGTGATCACCTCATGATCTCGGTGACAGGTAAGGTTTTTACAAGATTTTGAGAACTTGGATTCCCAGTTGGGCCATGTGCTTGGATTGGGGCCTGATTCCCAGTGTAGGGAGTGAAGAAGGTGGCTGAGCAACGATTCTATCACTGATGTTTCTCTCTCTCCTTCTCCCTCTCTCTGAAATGAATAAGAAAATTTTTTAAAGAAATCAACTAATGAATGCATAAATAGAATACATATTTTTCTTTCTCCCTTCCTCTCTCTCGCTACAATCCAATCAATAAAATTTAAATATATAAGTACATTCAGAATGTTGTGCAACCACCATCACCCAAAATGTTCTCATTGTACCAAACATCAACTCGATACCCATTATCCAATAACCCATTTTCTCTTTGCCCCCAATCTCTGGTAACCTCTGTTCTACTTTCTGTCTCTATGAATTTGCCTCTCTTAGGTACCTTGTATAAGTGTAATCACACAGTATTTGTCTTTTTGTGTTTGGTTAATTTTATGTGCTTAATGTTTTTTCCCCAAATATGGTTTTATTAAGTTTAGAGGAAGGGAAAGGGAGAGTGAAATGTCAATGTGAGAGAGAAACAATGATCCGCTGCCTCCTGCATGCCCCCTACTGGGGACTGAGCCTAAAACCTGGGCATGTGCCCTGACTGGAAATCGTACCAATGAACTTTTTTATTTTTATTTTTTTTTTATTTCTTAAAGTATTACAAAGAGTATTACACATGTCTCCTTTTTTCTCCCTCTTGACATTCACCCAGCTTCCCCCACCGCCAGTGTCTTGTATCCATTAGTATTCTCATATGCATGTATATAAGTCTTTCGGTTGATCTCCTACTCCCCCCAACCCTCCCCAGGCTTCCCACTGTAGTTTGACAGTCTGCTCAATGCTGCTCTGCCTCTATATCCATTTTTGTTCATCAGTCTATAATGGTCCTTATTATCCATAAATGAGTGAGTTCATGTGGTATTTTTCTCAGCTTCCCAGAGGCCGTCTCAGTCTCACAGGGGCCATCTCAGCCTCACTTGGGCCGTCTCAGCCTCACCAGGGCCATCTCAGCCTCACCGGGCCGCGTACCAATGAACTTTTGGTGCATGGGGCAATGCTCAACCAACTGGGCCACACCGGCCAGGGCCATATGCATAATGTTTTCAAGGTCCATCTATGTTATAGCATGTGTCACACTTTTATTCCTTTTTACAGCTGAAGAGTATTCTGTGGTCTGTGCATTTTATTTATCCATTTATTCTCTGAGGGACACTTGAGTCTTTTCACCTTGTGTTGATTTATTACTTTTCCCCCCAAAACAGGAAATATATGTATCTTCTTAATCCTCACCCATGGATATTTTTTCCACTGATTTTTAGAGAGAGTGGAAGGGAGGGAGGGTAGGAAGGGAGAGAGAAACATCGATTGGTTGCCTTCCACACATGCCCCAGCCAGGACCAGGGAATGAAACTGCAACCCAGGTATGTGCCCTTGACTGGAAATTGTACCAGCGACCCTTCAGTGCACGGGCTGATGTGCTAACCACTTAGGAACACTGGCCAGGGCTAAAATATAATATTGTTTATTGTCCCATGCAATTTTAGCATGAAGGCCTGGCAACTTCCCCCTTTTCGCTACTAAGACAAAAACTGCTTGGCCCACACAGGGTAAAAAGAGGAAATCTCTTAGAAACACAGGCCTAACCAACATCCATTGACTTAAATCAATCTTTCTTATAACAATGTTCATAAACAGGCTTGATGATAATTTTAAAGGTATTTTAGCATCAGGAAAACCTATGCCAACTACACTAAGCAGGAAGGCTGTGGCTGGTCAGAGATGTCCATAATCACCTTCATTAGGAAGTTTCTTTCTAAGCCGACTGACTGTGCATATCAGTGTCAATGTTCTAGTCTTAATAAATGGTTTTCTGGGTCCAGTGAAAGCAGTGGTTCTCCATCGCAGCTCAGTATCTGCATCATCTGGGGGATTTTGAAAGTTTGGTGCCTGAGTCTTACTCCAAGCAATTCTGATTCAATGTTTTTGAGGCTCGTCTGCCCACTGCGATTTCCTTTCTTTTTTTAAAGTTGAATTTAATGGGGTTGACATTGGTTAACAAAATTATATAGGTTTCAGGGATACAATTCTATAATAATCTGTATACTGTATTGTGTGTTTATCACCACAAGTCTCACCCCATCACCATTTATCCTCCCTTTACCCTCTCCTACTTCCCCCCACCCCCTTCCCTCTGGTAATCACCATACAATTGTCTTAAGAGATGTGTTTTTTGTTTTGTTTTTCCTTAATCGCTTCACATTTTTTACCGCAACCCTCTTTCTCCCAGTCCCTTCTGACAGCCGTCAGTCTGTCTTCTTTATCTAAATCATGAGTCTGTGTCTATTTTGCTCATTAGTTTCTTTTGTTTATTAGATCCCACATATAAATGAAACCATATGGTATTTGTCTTTCTCTGACTGGCTTATTTCACATAACATAATACTCTCCAGGTCCATCTTTGCTGTCACAAAAGTTAAGATTTCCTTCTCGTTTATTGGTTTTTTTTTTCAATGCAGAGCAGTTTTCCATTGTGTAAATGTACAACAGCTTTTTTTAAAAAAATATATTTTATTGATTTTTTACAGAGAGGAAGGGAGAAGAATAGAGAGTGAGAGAGAAACATCGATCAGCTGCCTTCTGCACATTCCCTACTGGGGATGTGCCCGCAACCAAGGTACATGCCCTTGATTGGAATCGAACCTGGGACCCTTGAGTCCGCAGGCTGATGCTCAATCCACTGAGCCAAACCGGTTAGGGCCAACAGCTTTTTTTTTAAAGAGCTACTTATTTATTTATTAATACATTTTTATTGATTTCAGAGAGGAAGGGAGAGGGAAAGAGACAGAAACATCAATGATGAGAATCATTGATAGGCTGCCTCCAGCATGCCCCCTAGTGGGGATGGAGCCTGCAATCTGGGCACATGCCCTTGACCGGAATAGAATCTGGGATCCTTCAGTCCGCAGGCCAACGTTCTATTCACTGAGCCAAACCGGCTAGGACTGTGGTTGGCAAACTACGGCTCGCAAGCCACATGTGGCTTTTTGGCCCCTTGAGTGTGGCTGTTCCTAAGCCTTAGGAGTACCCTAATTAAGTTAATAACAATGTACCTACCTATATAGTTTAAGTTTAAAAAATTTGGCTCTCAAAAGAAATTTCAATCGTTGTACTGTTGATGTTTGGCTCTGTTGACTAATGAGTTTGCCGACCACTGGGCTAGGGCAAGTACCACAGCTTTTTAATCCATTCATCTACTGATGGGCACATGGGCTGCTTTCAAATTTTGGCAATTGTAAATAATGCTACAATGAAGATAGGGTGCATATATCTTTTCAAATAACTGTTTCAAGTTTCTTCAGATATATTCCCAGAAGTGGAATAGCTGGGTCATAAGGCAGTTTCACTTTTAATTTTTTGAAGAAACTCCATACTGCTTCACACAGTGGCTGCACCTATATCTCTCCACTGTAATTTTTAAGAGCTCCCCCCCCAGGGGAGTCCAGTGTGCAGCCAAAATGAAGGACAGCTGAGCTAGAGTGTCTTACAAATGCAGTTTTGTGCCACAGAGGGAGGAAGTACAATGGGTTCTTCCTGGAGTACCCATTGGGAGTCTTTCAGGCTTATTTTAGGGCAGGGGTCCTAAAACTTCGGGCACGGGCCACATGCAAATACAAATACTGTATTTGTTCCCATTTTGTTTTTTTACTTCAAAATAAGATATGTGCAGTGTGCAGAGGAATTTGTTCATAGTTTTTTTTAAA